GTGCCATATATGATAAACCCACAGCTAACATATTAATAAATGGACAGAAACTGGAAACATTTCCCCTGAAAACTGGCCCAACACAAAGCTGCTCACTCTCATACCTCTTGTTCAACTTGTGTTGGAAGTCCTAGCTATGGCAATTAGACAAGAGAAGGAAATCAGGGGTATTCAAATAGGAAAAGAAGAAGTCAAGTTATTCCTCTTTGCTGATGATATGATCCTATATCTTGAAAATCCAAGAGAATCTTTTAAAAACCTGTTTGCATTGATAAAGGATTTTGGCAAAGTCTCAGCGTACAAAATAAATGTGCAAAAGACAATTGCATTCCGATACACTAACAACAAACAGGCAGAGACCCAAATAAAAAGCACAATCCCATTCACAATAACCACACACAAAAAAATGAAATACCTCAGCATCTTCCTAATCAGAGAAGTGAAAGACCTTTACAACTGAACTACAAAACACTGCTCAAAGAAATCCAAGAAGACACAAACAAATGGAAAAATATTCCATGCTCATGGATAGAAGAATCAACATTGTTAAAATGTGTATTCTACCAAAGGCAATCTACAGAGTCAATACGATACCCATTAAATTACCAACATCATTCTTCTCAGACCTGGAAATGACAATACAGAAATTCATATGGAAACATAAATGACCGTGAATAGCCAAAACTATCCTTAGCCAAAGAAACAAAGCAGGAAGTATCACACTGCCAGACTTCAAACTTTACTATAAGGCTACAATAATCAAAACAGCCTGGTATTGGTACAAGAACAAGCATATAGACCAATGGAACAGGATAGAGATTCCGGAAGCAAAACCTCAATTTCTCAATCAACTCTTCTTTGACAAAGCCTCCAACAACAACCACTGGGGAGAGGAGAATCTACTCAGCAAATGGTGCTGGGAAAACTGGCTGATCATATGCAGAAGATTGAAACAGGACATCTACCTATCACCATACACAAAAATTAACTCTAAATGGATCAAAGACCTAAACAAAAAACTTCAAATTATAAGCATCATAGAAAATGCAGGAGACACCCTTATGGAAACTGGAACTCGCAACCAATTCCTGATCAGAACCCTAAGTGTCCACACCATAAGAAATAAGAAAGACAAGTAGCACCTCATCAAACTGACGAGCTTCTGCAAAGCAAAAGAAACCATCAAGAGAGCATGGAGATAGCCCACAGAATGGGAAAAAATATTTGCCAACTGCATATCTGACAAAGGTCTAACATCTAGGATCTACAAGGAATTCAAACGTGCTGAAAGGAAAAAACAAACAGCCCCATTAAAAAGACACTAATAGACACTTCTCAGAAGAAGATATATGGGCAGTCAACAGACACATGAAAAAGTGCTCAGCCTCACTCATCATCAGAGAAACGCAAATTAAAACCACATTGAGATACCACCTAACCCCTACCACCTAAAACAAACATTAAGAATAGCCATCATTAATAAAACAAACAACAACAGATGCTGGTGAGGATGTGGAGAAAAAGGAATGCTTCCACACTGCTGGTAGGAACGCAAACTAGTATAATCTCTTCAGAAGACAAGTGTGGCAATTTCTGAAAGAATTAGACATTGACCTTCCATATGACCCAGCAATTCCCCTACTGGGAATATACCCAGAGGAACTCATATCATTCTACAAGAAAGATACCTGCACATGTATGTTTGTTGCAGCTCTAGTCACCATAGCAGCTTTAGTCACAACAGCAAAAACATGGAACCAACCATGCTGCCCACTGAAGCTGAACTGGATAAAAAAATCTGTGGTACATATACACAATGAATATTATGCAGTCATAAAGAAGGACAAACATATGAACTTTGCAGCAACTTGGATGGATTTAGAGTCGATCATACTCAGTGATCTATCACAGAAATAAAGAACAAAGTACCATATGTTCTCACTCATAAGTAGACCTTGAACAATTATCATAATACTATAAGAAAAGGATTGGCAGTGGTGGGGAATGGCCAGGGGAGGGGGGATGGGATTGGCAGTTGAGGGAAACTGTTAGGGGAGGGAGAGGCACACCTCATCAACAAGGGTACCTGCATAAACAACGTTTGTATATCTAACCCTGAATTGTACCCCACATCTTTAAATTTTTTTTAAAACTTAAAAAAAAGAATGAATTAAAAAATCATTGCTTGTAAGTCATCAGGGAGGTTAGGTCTTAATAGTGAACTGCTCCACTCTTCCTGTTTGGCACCCTGCAAACAAACACTCTTCTTTCTCTTGCTGTAAGATCTCAGTGTGGATGTTTGGCTTTACTGAACTGGGTGAGTGGACCCAGGCTTGGTTTGGTAAAAAACTCGTTTGTTTTTTTTTTTAACTTTGAGGCTTTAAATCTAACCTCAAATCTCCCTCTTGGCTTCTCTTGAAAAATGTGGCTGAATTTCCTCATCCTCTCCATATCATTCTTGTTACAAATTTGAAACCTATCATTAAACTACAATTCACATGGCAAAGCCCTTTTTTAAGGAGATAACATTATCTGTATGTATCCTACATGTGACAGTAGCCCCTCTATAAATGCAGCACATTCACTGGCTGTCAAAACAACTAAGGACTTATTTCCTCCAAAATGTTTCTTATTCCTTAACTGATTCCTTTATTAATAAAATGTTTTAGTCCTCTCCTACATTTAAGAAAGAAATGTGAGTTGTCTCTTTCTTGAATTCATTTTCATTCCATTCAAGTTTCATTTTCTCATTCCATAATTATCAGCAACAGATATGAACAGTAAAAATGCCACTTGGTTTCTCCTCACTACCTATAGCAAAATGAGAGGACAGATGACCAAAGAAGGAACAGTTAAATATAAGGGATCTAAGAGTGATCAACTAAACAATGAAACTATTTCCCACCCCTGGTCTCTCTAGACAGCAAATTATACTAAAATTAATAAATGGTTTCATGGCAAAGATTAAGCACAAGTGACAGAAAACATGGTCTTCAGATGAAACCAAGGGATGGCTGGCTGTAAAACCCTCTGTTAAGGGCTCAGGAAGATTTAAGGTAGCACTGTCTCACTGAACCCTTCAAAAAGGTCAGAGGCTCTAAATATAATGGGATTTCAAAATTGCAATGGACCAGTGACATCTGTGAGCCTTATATTTCCCCTATTTTTCAGTGAAAGTGCCTACTGCAGTTACATTATACCTATCTCACCATTGTATGTTGAATATGTGCAGGACAGATAACTTGTCTTTGAAATGACCAACTCTTTAAATAGAACGAAGTGGTACCCAAGGAACTGGACCTGAGGAGCTTCATCTATATCCTGACCTGATGCCTCACTGGAAAGAGATCTAGGGGTTTTTGGAAAGGGGATGAGTGTATTTTACACAACAGAGGGATGTAAACTGTTGTAGTCAGATGGTGAATCGGCAGAATGTATTTTCCAAATACTAACATATCCCATTCCATGTGCTCTTATAATGTGATATTGTCAATTCCATCAAAAGGTCGGGTCTATGTTTCCTCTCCTTCAATTTGGACAGGTCTGTGACTACAGCAGAAGAGATGCAATGTGACTTGTAAGATAAGTCCTAAAGAGTGATGCAAATGTGTCTGGCCCTCTTAGGATGCTCACCTTTAGGACCTTACCACCATATTATGAGGAAACCAAGGAGTCACATGCAGTTGTTCTAACCAGGGCCTTGGCTGAGGTTCCAGGCAACAGCCAATCCCAGTATCAGTTACATGAGTGAACAGCCTTCAGATAACTCAAGACTGCAGCCTTTGAGCCACTCCAGCTGATGCCAAGTGGAGCATAGAGGAGATGCTCCTGTTGAGCCCTATCCAAATTGCAGATTCATCAACAAAATACATGTTGCCATTCAAGCCACAAAGTTTTGGAGTGGGTGATGCACAATCAATAGCAAGCAGATTTTGGTGCCAGTTTAATGAAATCTAAGGGAGTTTATGGCTGTTTATTCCTCTCCGATTGCTTCTTCCAAGTCTAAGGAAGTCAGTGGCTCACGCCTGTAATCCTAGCACTTTGGGAGGCAGAGGTGAGAGGATTGCCTGAGTCCAGGGGTTCAACACCAGTCTGGGCAATTTGGTAAAACCTCATCTCCATACCAAAAAAAACAAAACAAAAAGATAAAGTCAGAAAGAAATTTTACTCAGTTGTCTTCAGAGTCAACATCAGAAGTGATAAAAATCCATTTATTTATCTAAGTTCATTTTATCCCCACTGTATTTATTTAGGTCCTACTTATTCTTTAATAAGTAGGGTACAATCTCATATTTAAGATATTATCTAGCCGGGCTCGGTGGCTTAGCCTGTAATCCCGTGCCTTTGGGAGGCTGAGGTGAGTGGATTGCCTGAGCCCGCGGGTTCGAGACCCGCCTGGGCAGTGAGACCTCATCTCTACAATAAATAAAAAAAAAATCAGCCGGGCGTGGTAGCACATGCCTGTAATTCCGGCTACTCGGAAGGCTGAGGCGGAAGGATCGCTGGAGCCCAGCAGGTCGAGGTTGCGGTGGCCGGGAGTGGCCACTGCACTCCAGTCTGGGTGACAGAGTGAGACTCCAACTCAAAAAACAAAAACAAAACAAAACAAAACAAAACAAAAGATATTATCTATTTCCAAGGGATTCATGTTTTTCCTGACCCTTACAATTTCAACACTGCCTGAGGCATTTATTAAAGAGAGAAGAAAATCACATTTAAAAAAAAAAAAGACCTAATTGGGAAAATGGTCTGGAGAGGTGAAAGTTGTTATATTGAAGAAAGTAGGCTAAATAACACCATAATCTCATGTTACTAAAAAATACAAATATGTATGTTAAAAAAAATAAAAATAAAAACAAAGACCTGAGGACTTCTAGGACAAAAAATTGTCAGAGTCAGTAATTGAACTGAGAAAAGAACCCATGCTTTTTCTGTTATCAACAATGCTTTCAATATACAGTCTCTTCAACATGAAGGAAATACTGAAAATCGGAAAATACCTCTTCGGGAACACTTGTGTTAAATGGGTCATGACCGGGAGATCCCATTACTGGAGTAGGTGATGGACTTTTCTCCAGATCACTGAAACTCTGTGCATCCAGCAAAGTAGAGATGGAACTGGAATTGAAGAGATCTTCATATTCACCATCTTTGCCTAGAAAAAGTCAAAGCAAAGAGAAGACAACAGCAGCTTTTAATTTATATTTGGCTTTTGGAGGAAAGTAAGAATCCCAACTATACTGAATGTAAACGTTTTTCTGATCCTCAAAAACAAATGAGTGGACTTCTCTTGGCATCACCTGAAAAACAACAGTGCGGGACCTAGGAAAGAGCATCTTAAACTGTGAATACCTGAGGCCCAGGGGCTCTTGGGCCACACTGAATATCTTCCAGTGGTATTAATAGAAGGAATCATATTTGATATAATCATTGGCTCACAATATTGAAAGAAAATTAAAAGTTAATGTATTCCAACAATGCTCCTGTAATTTTGTTTCAAAATGAGGGGCTTTACAAATTTTAGTTTAAGCCGAGCTCGGTGGCTCAGCCTGTAATCCCGCGCTTTGGGAGGCTGAGATGAGTGGATTGCCTGAGCCTGCAGGTTCGAGACCCGCCTGGGCAACTTGGTGAGACCTCATCTCTACAATAATTCAAAAAATTAGCCGGGCATGGTAGCGCATGCCTGTAGTTCCAGCTACTTGGAAGGCTGAGGCATAATGATCGCCGGAGCCCAGCAGGTCGAGGCTGCAGTGGCTGGGAGCAGCCGCTGCACTCCAGTCTGGGTGACAGAGTGAGACTCCAACTCAAAACAAACAAACAAACAAACAAACAAAAAACAAAACAAATTTTAGTTTAGAAATAACCAAGTGGAGGAATACTTGGTACAACAAACTAATTCTGACTAGCAACAAACAATTCAATTTAAACAACTCAATTTTTATAAGTGTTATGCTCTTGAGAAAAGATAGAAAGGAAAAAGAAAGGCAGACAAACTCTGATCTCTCCAGAGGATCCTTTATGCTATTTTAAAGAAGTAAAACAGTCTTAACAGAAAAAAGCAACCATATACCCACCAAAGTAGAAACCTTGAGATTTTTTTTTACATCTCTTAGAAATGAAAAGGATTAAGTGCTGAAAACATGTCAGATATTTTTTTAAAAACAGTAAGAATGATGCTTAAAACTCTAATCTTTGAATAATGTGAACAGTAAATCATACTTGTTTAAAAATCTTAATCAGATCACAGCTCCTTAATTTAACTTAGGTTTTACTAGAATGTTATACGAATTTTATTAGAATTTGTGTGTTATTTGAATTATGTGAGGATTAACTACATAAACATAAATCCTGTGAGAAATCACTGTTTATATAACTCTTTGTTGGAACAGGGCATAACTTTCAGTGGTTTATGAAAATCTATTCTGTTGTACATGGTTGAAAACTACCTCCTTTATCTATATGTTCATATGCGCGGAAAGAAAAGACTATAAAGAAACATATAAGAATGCCAATAGTGATCATGCCAGTACAATTATGAATGGTTTTTTAAAAACTTTTTTTTCTATTTTCCAAAAGTTTAACAATATAGTCTAATGATTGGAATTAATTTTTCTTCATTGGTTTTTTTTTTTTTTTTTTTTTGAGTTGGAGTCTCATTCTGTCACCCAAACTGGAGTGCAGTGGCCGCTCCCGGCCACCGCAGCCTCGACCTGCTGGGCTCCGGCGATCCTTCCACCTCAGCCTTCCGAGTAGCCGGAATTACAGGCATGCACTACCATGCTCGGCTTATTTTTTTTTTTTTTTATTTATTGTAGAGATGAGGTCTCGCTGCCCAGGCGGGTCTCGAACCCATGGACTCAGGCAATCCACTCACCTCAGCCTCCCAAAGGCGCGGGATTACAGCCTGAGCCACCGAGCCCGGACTCTTAATTGATTTTTAAACATAAGAAATGAAGTGCTGAAATTCCATAAACTAAAACAATATTTTTAATGACATGCAAATGCAAAAATTAATCACTCACAAATCTGTAATTTTTCTTTGGAGAGAAACTCTTTTGAAGGAATGGAAAATGCTTAGTGATAAGAACTAGTCAACTCTTATAATTAGAGATTCATTTGCTCACAGAGGTATTTACAAAATCTTAATAACATGCCAGGCTCTGTGTACAAAAAAGATAAAGATCCAATTTTATTTTTTTTAATCCTGATCCAAAGCAGGATCTTCTTTCTTTGTGAACTCATCGAAATTAAAATTTCAAAATCTGAGTGTTTCTTGAGTTTATTTCCAGTGCTTACCTTGAGAACAAATAACCCTAACTATGCACTGCTAATAAACAAGAATGCTTAACATTTCTGTTTGAGTGCCTCAAAACTTTTCCATATTTGAGGATGGCCAATTGGCCCATCTGCCGATAAAATAATAATAAATACAACAAGATGCATAACTACCTTTACTTACAAGTCTAACAGGGTTTTTTGAATTCAACAAGTTCAAAGCTGAGTCCAATTCCCTTTACTCACCCCAATTTCCGTCTCTCAGCTTCCCTATCTGGGCAAATGGAACCATCATCTGCCTGGCTGCTCTAAGTCAGAAATGTCATTACTGATTTTTTTCCCCTCTTTTTTACTCTCTTCATTTAATTCATCACACCACCATATTAATATACTTCCAATTGGTATCACCAAGTTTTTTTCACTTGGAATACTGCAAGAGTCTATGGATTGGTTTCCCCTGCTCTCAGCGCTGCTCCCTTCCCCCATGGCCTTTGTGTTGCTGACTTCAGTGGATCGCCAAAGCTTGAGCAAAAGCTGACCCTCTCCCCTTGCAGGACCAGCTGCTGCTCATCTCTGTGACCTCATCTTATCCCACTCTCCCCACTGTCCATCACCTTGCAACCCCAATGGTATTCTCCTACATCTTTTTTTTTTTTTCTCCTATGTCTTAAACATGCCAAATATGCCTTAGGTTTTGCCCGGGCTGTTGTTTTCTCTCTCTGGAATGCTATTTCATCAATTCCTTAGAGAGGCTCTCCCCAACCAATCAATCTACAGTATACTCACTCAGCAGCCTGTATGCTTTCTGGTAGAGAACAGTTGCCTAATGATATTATTCAATAAATGAATGAGCCACCTAATTTGGGACAATGGATACAATACAAGAAAGAATTGAGGGCAAATGTGTCAGTTTATAGCCACTTAAAATCAAGCAAAGCAGAAAACCTTTAGATCTACATTCTATCTTTTTTACCTTGGGCTAGTACCACTTTATCTTGCATTTTCTTGTACCTGTTCAGGCACTGTCGAAGATCTTCTATTTTTCGATCCTATGAATAAAATAAATCATCATCTTTAATCATATAATCTTAAAACCATAGAAGTTAATTGTAACACAAAGAATAAGCAGACATGAATTATTTACATAATTCAAAGATTATGTCTAAACTTTAGTAAAACTGGTCATATCCAGATTATTTTTCTTACATACAGCAGAGATAAGGAAAAAGTATCTCTAAATTTAGCGAACCTATCCTTTAGTTGCCATCTATAAAACAAAACAAAAATAAGGCAACAAGGTACCAAAACGCCCCACTCAAAAAATCAGCTTTAATTACTCTCCTAACTTATAAGTCAAGTTAAAAGTCTTTTGTTTTTATTAGCCATCATTAGACACTATCTGGCTTTTCCCCTCTCAAAACACTCCAACAAAGTTGCTTAGATTAGTCATTTGTGACCTTTTATCTATTTTTAAAAAATGAACGTTTTCCATCCTTCTAATTTGACCTCTATATAGCACTTGACTGCCCTCATTCTTTCCTTCTTTCACTTCTCTGTCCACTCCTTCTATTTTGATTTCTTAATCCCTTGACCAGATAGATATTCTACTTCCATCATTTTCATTTGGAGTATAAAATGCTAGCGCTTCAAGGTTCTGTCCTCAATCCTCTTCCTCATACCCTCAACTGTGGTACATTATGAAAATGACCTTTCTAGCTCCTGCCACCCTGATCCTAAGCCTGGCCATGAGACCTGCTTGGATCAAAGAGGTATCAGCAAATGTGATTCAAGCAAAGACTTCTAAAGCATTTGCACATTGCAGCTGCCCTCTGGTGCTGCTCTAAGAACTCTGAGGAACCATATGAAAAAGTCTAGGCTGGTCTAGGGGAGGATAAGAGACCATCTAGAGACAAGATGAGTCACTCCAGCTGGGCCAACCTGCATGAGTCTGTCAATCACCAGGTGTGTGAGTTACACTATCCTAATCACTCAGTCCTATCTAAGCCAACAACTACCTGTAGCCATAAGCTAAGCCAGCTGGGACCAAAAGGATCACCTACCCAACTCACAAGTCTAAGAACTAATAAATGTGGTCTGTCATGGAGCAAAAGCTGACAAATCAACTGTGGCTTAGTCCTCACCAATCTACAATTCTATATTTCCCCCTAAAATTGGTGGGGTTCACTGCCCCTCCATCTATGTTTCCACATTAATCCTAAAATTCAGATTCATATTCCAACTTTCTAAGGGAAATCTCCTTTAAAATAACCCATTTTAAAGCACATCAATTTTAATATATTTAAAATTAAGCTTATTATTCCTGCCAGTACTTGAGCCTATGCTAGGATTTCCTAAACTCTATTTAAAGGCACTATCATTCACCAAGTTGTCCAAACCAGAAACTTACTCTTGTTTCTCACATCCTGAGGATCTTTACATCCTATCAACCTGTACATGTCTCTAAAATTTCTTACCTCCTTCCTACATCACCGCCATTGCCTTATTTCAAACCCTCTTCATTTCTCACCAAGACTACTACACTAGTCTCTTAACTGTCTACCTGGCTTCACTCCCTCATACTGCTACCAGAGTTAGCTTTCTAAAATGGCAATTTCATTATGTCACTGCCCAAGATCTCCAAGCTAAGATCCCAAACCATTAGCCTTGCATACAAAGTCACCTACACTCTATGGTCAGTCTCATTTCCCCCATTTCACCTATGTCTCATGCTCTGGCACCTTCCAAGCATGCACTGTGCTGTTTCAAACCTGGGTTTTGAGACACATTTTGGTCCACAGACTTTTGCCTAGATGCCTTTATTTTCCTAAAGAAAAACTCTTGCTCTTCTTCAGCATTTGCTCAGATAGGTGCTCTTTGATGTTTTCTGGAACCCCCAAGAAAGTTTGAGCATCTAGGAAGCCCTCAAGACTAGGAGTTTGTTATTGTTGCTTTTTGAGGGAGAAAAATTAAAACAAAATGAATTTCAATGATTTTTTTTAAAAAATAAAAGCTATGGTGGGCAGATTGCTAATAACTTTTCTTTTTATTCAATAGTGGGTAAGGCCTGGGTGCAGTGGCTCAAACCTGTAATCCCAGCACTTTGGGAGGCTGAGGTGAGGGAATTGCCTGGGCCCATGGGTTCGAGACCAGCTTGAGCAACATGGCGAGACCTCATCTCTACAATAAATCAAAAAATAGCCAGGTGTGGTAGTGTGTGCCTATAGTTCCGGCTACTTGGAAGGCTGAGGTGGAAGGATCGCCTAAGCCCAGGAGATTGATGCTGGGGTGGCCGTGAGCGTGCCATGAGGGTGACAGAGTGAGACTCCAACTCAAAAAAAAAAAAAAGTGGGTAAGATCAGCAAAAGGGTGGGTGTGCATGATAATGAGTTTATTTCCATGGAATAAAGAGCAAATAAAGAGAATGAAAGGCACAAGTAAATAAACAGATAAGGAAAATCAAATAGGCAAGAATTAGAGAAAGAAACTTATAATAAAAGAAAAAGGTCAAGTCAAAGTTCTCTTTTACTTCCTTGAAGTGACTCCCTTTTGGGGGGAAATGTCCCCTTGTTCTATTCATTAAAGCACATAAGGGGAGAGCAGTTCTGATGACATGAACTGAACACGACTATGGCTGCCTGCTAGATACATGGATGGATAGGTAAGCCACGAAGAAACACAATGTAGCTAAAATAAAGCCCATGCCTCTGTTTTCTGGTATTTCATCTCTCAGGAGAACATAGACAAGCCCAGGTGTTAAATAGGCCAGGCATATAAAGGAAAATATGTGTATATGGAGAAGAAAATCAACACAATTGTAAAGCAGAGGTTTTCACGGGGCTACCTCCTTCAGGCTCTGTATTTCTCTTATTTGTCACCTGAGTATATAGAACTGATCTGAGAGACTGAACATTTTCTAAATTCATGGGGGCGGGGTTCTCAGTGGAGCCGGTGCTGCTGGTGCCTACTCCTGTGCACACAGCCATAAGTGGGAGTGTGCACACCTGAGTGCGGAGAAAGTACATTTGTCCCCTGTGTCAGTAGTATGTTCTTTCAAAGTGGGGTATCTCATGAAATTGCACAGAATGGTCAAAATGGTGTTATGAAACATCCACACATATATGCAAATTTCCTCTGGATACCTTTTCTTCATTTGCTGCCATCAAAGATTCCACGGCCTTTTTCATTTTTTGTACTTCAATATCTGAAAATTACACAACACCAAAGCAGAAGTCAGATTAGTAAACACATGTGACAATTAAAGGAAGCTACTTACTCTTCAGAATGAAATGTTTTAAGGTATAGATGTCAATGATTTGTTTTTATTCATTCTTTAAAAAGGGCACATTTAACACCCTTATTCTCTTTTGGGGAAAAATCTGAAAGATGAACACCTTCTATCTCACCTGAACAGCTGTCATTCTAGAAAGAAAATACGAGTATGTGAGCACTAGTTGTCCTCTCTTAAAACAAAATCAAAATCTTCTTGAGAACACTGAAGATGAAATTTCAGTGCCATATCAATAAAAACATGGAGTTTTCAAAAAACGGAATCTATAAAGCAGTGGGTGAAAGCAATGAATGGTATATATTATGACAAAAGCAGAGAAAATGATATTCAGTTATAACCAAGATGGTGGCACGAATGGTAACAGCCTGATGGAGTGTGATATTTACATGAGTGGTCATGCTAAGAAGCTGGTGTAGTTCCATACAGAAGGATAATAAGTACTTTGCTTCATCTATAAACTTCATTTCCAATACTATTTTAAAACAAATTTCAAGACATAAAGGTCCAAGTAAGCTAAATGTGATTTTCCTTAATATTTGATATTCAAATACAAAAGCTCATGATTTGAACAATAAAAAAACCAATATTTTTAAAATGAAAAGCCACCCCAAAGTGAAGCCACAAACTAAAAAATTGAAAAAGAAAAAAAAGAACTAGCTAAAGTTGTCTGTTTCTGAGGAAAAAAATGCTACTTATGATCATTTTAAAATATGGTGCATCATTCAGGAGTAATGCAACATTTTCAGTTCAGATATATTCTATAGGAGTTGCGAATTCACTGTCTGGAAAAAGAGACCACTGAAGATTTATCTTGATGCTGCATTGAGCAATCTGGGCTCCACTAATCAGCCTAGAAACCATCTCTGCTGTAACAAGGGGACATGTTCAAAGGCGCGTCCAATGCAGCTCTCAGACAAAAGACCTTCTGAAGTGGACTTCAAAACATTGAAAAGAGCCGGGCTTGGTGGTTCAACCTGTAATCCCATGCCTTTGGGAGGCTGAGGTGAGTGGATTGCCTAAGCCTGCGGGTTCGAGACCTGCCTGGGCAGCAAGACCTCATCTCTACAATAAATCAAAAAATCAGCCAGGCGTGGTAGTGCATGCCTGTAATTCCGGCTACTTGGAAGGCTGAGGTGGAAGGATCGCCGGAGCCCAGCAGGTCAAGGCTGCGGTGGCCGGGAGCGGCCACTGCACTCCAGTCTGGGCGACAGAGTGAGACTCCAACTCAAAAAAACCAAAAAAAACCCCAAAACATTGAAAAGGAAATTCCTTGGAAGTGGGCTTCAAAACATCGAAAGTAAATACCTTAAAGTAGGCTTTGAAATATTGAAAAGCAAAAGTAAAGTTCAAAATAATCTTCCAACTCTAGCAAACCTTTAAAATAGTGGATTTTCATAGGAATACAAAGGTTATTCCTCCCTTGACCCAGTGTCACCTAGACCACAGAGAAAATATTTTGTTATATCCACCGCTCTGTGTGCCCTGTTGTATCCTGTAGAGCAAAAGGCCTGAATCAGATAGCATCTGCAAAATGACCTTTTACCTCTTGTTTTTATTGTTTCTTTGTCCATCCTCTATTTTGTGTATTCTGAAGAAATGCGGAGCTTATTGATGAAGCAACTTTACATCTTTGGTGAGAGAAATATTTTAAAACACATGCAAAGAACAGTCCAAGTAGTACTTTTGGTGAATGTAAAGGCTAATGGAAATACACCAAAACCTTACTTTTTTCTTTGAGCTTCTTTTTAAAATTTTCATCTGTGCAGGAAAACCCAGCGAATTGGAATTAGCATACATTACAACAATAAGTAATATTTTCAAAGCACGATTACTTAGTTTCCTTTTACCTAAACTAAAGGAACTTGAACCCCATAAAAACTGAATATTAAGCACTGTTTTGTGGGCATAGGATTTGTAATATAATAATGCTCTGTGTGAAGTTAGAAAAAAAATGTAAGACTTAAATTCAAGTTACTACTTCTGTCATTCCATCTTCTGGATCCCTGATATTTCTGCATTAAGATTGAGTTTGTGGAGAACAAGTACTTTTTTACACCATATGTGATGAAAAACGAGTTAATGTTGCTTTGATTGTTTTTTTACATTTCCATCACAGTTTGATACCAGTCCTCCTGAATGTGACAAGTACACCACTCGTGTCACATTCAGCTCACCATTAAAGTTCAACAACACTGAGAGGGTCTATCTCCTGTTCGATGAGATAAGTCCACGGAGGATGCAGTTAGATACTATGCCAACATCAGGTTGACATGAGGTTTCTAAACATTTGCTCTCAATCCCTGTATTCCACCTGTTGGTGCAATGATAACTAGAAGCTCCCAGATTGGTTCCAGACCTTGGATCAGATTTTGGGTAGCATGACTCTAATGTATCTTCTAGTCCACAAGTCCTGTGATGCCCTTTTATTCTTAAAACCCTAAAAGCATGACCTGTTTCTAAATGTCACTTAACAACACACAACTCTACATATGCCAAAATACAGGGTGGGGACTGGGGGTACGGGGGAATCCATTTCCCTCAAGTTTGGTGAATTGAGTTTTCTGACGGATAGGGAATTGTGATACCTATAGGATTATAAAGCTGCGGCATCCCACAGTCAAGAAAGACTTTAGAGGTATGTAGCTCAAGTCCCTCACTGAACAGACAATGATGTGACTAATTTTCACACAATAAATAAAAGTGTACCAAAGCTACACTGAAATGTTCTATTTAGAATGAGTCAGAAGCTGCTTTGGTATCTCGTAGTGCCACAGTTATCATTTGTGATCATTAAGAAAGGCTAAATTTGACCTAGTGTTATCACATGTTATGAACATTATATTTCCATATATACTTTAAAAAAAAACATTTCATTGAAGCTATTTTCTATCATGTATAACCTACATTATTAGAAGTTATAGTCCATATAATGCTCAGAATAAACCTCCTTAGTTATGAAAAAAAAAACTTGGATAAATTCATACATTTTTCCACAAACAAAATTAGCCTACTTTTGCTTTCTAAAAGGTTGAGGGCCAGCTCATAGTACACAATTTTCACTAGTTTTCCGAAGATACAGAGTCATTCCTCTTTTCTTCATAAGGGCAGAAAAAGTTTCTAAGTCCTTTATCTTGTCTCAATTTCGGTTCTGAAAGTAATAATCTTGAACCACAGTGATGATTTTTTTAAAAATTATTTTGTCATTCCCTTCTACTGCATTTTGAACGAGTACATTCTTGTGATGAGAATTTAGTTATCCAAAATGAACACCCACTAAAGTACAGAATTGAATCGCCCTCCTCCAGCTGCTAAGGAGGAAGTTAAGGAATTCCCAGTCACAGTACAGAGTCTTGGAGAATTCCCTGAGGCCCTGGGCTTCACTGGTTTCCACTATTCTTTCTTTGATGCTAACATTAGACACTGAGTAACATCCATTTCTTTTATAGATTTTGGAGGATTTTAACAAAGTAAGATAACAAATGTTAAATATGTGTGCTTACCTTTATCAAGAATTTCAATCCCTTCTCCTTTCATCTTGCAAACCAGTTTTTCTTGTAGCCTTTTTACTTCAGATTCCTTCTCTTCCAGTTGCTCTTTTAAAGATGCAAGTTCCTCCTATAAATTATAAATTCACTTTTAAATAGTAGTTATGACTAAAAGAGAACATGCAGAGAGCATATTAGCTCTTTAAATCAATAGATAGATTTTACAAATATAACAAGAATCTACAAGAATTTAGACGCAAACATCAGAAATTAGACAGGGGCACTGAGAAGCAGGAAGCAAGATTATTGACAGAAGTCCAATCTATAGTAGTCATGGCATGATTATTTCAAGTTTCTTTGCGATCAAATTTAAAAGAATTTTCTTAAAGTGTAATAAGGGCTAGGATCGCCCTAAGGTCTAAATCTTGTGTTTCATTTTTAAAATGACCGAGTTAATCAAGAAGGATAATCAAATTAGATACTCAGTGTCATAAAAACAAATAAGATGCAAATTGGAAAATATTAGTGTGTCATTTACTCAGTATTTCAAAATGGCACTCATGCTTCCTGGACAAGCACCAAGCTTAATTAACAGGTCAGGTAGCAAGTGATGAACAACTTTAGCCAAATCACAGAACTAAACAATTCATTAAGACAAAATGACAGAATCACCTCCAACAAAAAGGAAGAAATAAAATTAGAAAACAGATATTTAAGCCTTCTTTTTACTTTTTGACTATGCAATTATAAAGATTTCAAATCCTTTGCTCTATTTACGAATGTTCTTATTTTCAGTTTCATTTTAGTAGAGAATCAGCTTTAGCAAACTTAAGTTTTGCTGGCTGTATTTAGCACAGGAAACAGAGCCATGCAATGCTAATTAGTATAAATTTATGTTCTCTATCACTTTTAATTTTCAGAATCTCTAAAGATATGTATTACATTTAGTATTATGAGACAATGTAGCTCTCCAATGAAGCTAAGAAGCTAGCCATATAGTTCTGGTTTATGAGGAGGAGGAGTGGACACCAAGTTCAAAAAATGTTCAATTGTACTGGCAAGAAATACTGCCCTGTTCTCACTGTACAGCACCTAGGCAGTCATTTCTACTCATAGCTAAGATGCAGTTAACTGTTGTACGTTTATCTTCAAGGAAGTTCCTAAGGAGGAAAGCTGTCTCCACCGTTGATACAAAACAGAACTCTTTCACAGATGAACTTTTACAATTATTTTACTATGCATGGGTCTCAGGTAGTGCAAGAGAGTTATCCTGAATTTATAAATGAATTGTTCATTTTATCTGCTTATTATTTTTTTACTAATTATTTCATAGGTTTCTGAAAACGTTAGAGAGCTCACACTGTCCCTTTAATCAGCTTTCAACAGATTTTTTCATGAACAGGTGACACACACACAAAATGAATGCACATGCCACTAAAACGTCATCACAGCAAAACGACACAAGCCAGAAAGCAACAGATCATGGGTCCCATTACCCAAAGTTTACTACACCTTCAGTGACTCCCATTTTTGTTCCATCCGCTGCTTTTCATACTGCATCTGACCCACCTTGATTTTCATGCTAGAAAGTTTGGCCATTAAAGACTGGTAGAGAGACAGAGGAGTGAAAGAAAACTACAGATAGAAAAAGACAAGCTAAATAACCAAGAAAACAGTATCCATTTATAAAGGAGGTTAGTTATAACTCAGAGAAATAGTAGGTTATAGTCTGATTAGTTAGGCCTTAAATTTTTATTCAGAACAGTGTGGTGTTTAAATTCAAGGTTTCCAGCTTGGGGAAAACTTCATTCACTTATAAAATACCTTCTTTAATATATACGAAGGAGAAAAATATTTATTTATATTATTGGTCAGAGATGAGAAGTAAAGCCATTTGTTTAAAAATTTTAACCAGTGAGATAAACTTACTTTGGTTGATTTAAGCTTTTTTTCATACTGAAGTCTCTCACTGTCCATTTCACTAACTTTTAACCTCAAATCACTGATCTCCTGAATCAATCCCTGTCCAAAAAAGAAACAAAGAAATGCATTAGAAAAATAACAGTTATCTAGACCAAAATAGTAGGATGGAAATGTTAATAGGTCAACAGCTCATAGGGTTGAAGTTGTGTGAATTAGATCAGATAAATGTATCTCCTTAAGAATCAAAGCATCTTTCCATTTAAAACATTGCTTTCAATTCCCTATGCCTCTGTCCTAAAGTGATGGGCTAATAAAAATAAATGGTGACTATAATTTTGATTAAGAAAGGTAGCTTGGCTGGGCTCAGAGGCTCAGCCTGTAATCCCAGCACTTTGGGATTGTCTGAGCCCGCAAGTTTGAGACCAGCCTGGGCAACTTGGCGAGATCTCGTCTCTACAATAAATAAACAAAGAAAAATTAGCCAGGCATGGTAGCATGCACCTGTAGCTCCAGCTACTTGGAAGGCTGAGGTAGAAGAATCGCCAGAGCCCAGCAGGTCGAAGCTGGGGTGGCTGTGAGTGTGCCACTGCACTCCAGCCTGGGTGACAGAGTGAGACTCTAACTTAAAAAGAAAGAAAGAAAGAAAGAAAGGTAGTTTGATATCTGACTTACTAGAATCTGCCAGATATTTCTACACTGTATGACTATATGAACTCCATCTTTTGAAATAAACTACATTCTTTAATAAAGCCATTTACCTTTACGGCCTTTTCAGTGATATATGGCTATATACAAAAATATTTTTTATAATTGCTTCCTTTTCTACAGAAATTCAGATTGCTCATTAACTCATTCTGGGAAAATGAAACGAAATTTAAATCCTTTAGACCAAAGATTCTCAGCTGGAAAGTAGATGAGGGTCCTACTGTAGTCTACACATATATTCACTATTATAATAAAATTTTAGACAATGAAAGAGAAAGCAATCCTAATGTTTTCATGACATAATACAATTTAACACCTTTTGATGCCACTTTAAAAAAAACTAATTTGCTTATAACATTTGTCTAAATAGCCTGAGAAATAGTAATATATTTTGTCCAAAGCCCAGAGAGTAAGAAAAGGAAATCAGAGTATTAAGAAAAACCAACTTCTCAAAAAGAGAAGCTTAAATACTCTGTGCAGATGATTTTTATTTTTTATAACAAGTCACAAAGATCCATCTAATGGTTACTATGTTTTTGCTCCTTTCTTTTTACAGGACATTTTTTCCTGGGCCACAAATTCAGATTACAGAATGGAATTATACAAGTATGCAAAAAACAAGTAGAACAGTGTTGTAAGAAATAACGTTTTGTAAACAGGAATTATTCTAAACTTCCAAGTGTAACAATTCAAGTTCACAAAGGCTAGAAAAATGGATGCTTCAATGAAATATATTTCTCAGTAAACTCCTAGGCGTTTAAATTGTGGTCTCCTGTTAAGATGGGACAAGTATTACCTACTATTATCATATAATTACTCATTAATAATCACACAAGTCTGGGAGCAGAGGCTCATGCCTGTAATCCCAACACTTTGGGAGGCTGAAGCGGAAGGACTGCTTGAGTTCAGGAGTTTGAGACCAGCCTGAGCAACATAGTACAATCCTGTCTCTACAAAAAATCCAAAAATTAATCAGGCATGGTGGTATGTGCCTTTAGTCCCAGCTACTTAGGAGGCTGAGGCAGAAGGATCGCCTGAGCCCTGGAGGTTGAGGCTGTGGTGACCTGTGATCATGCCACTGCACTCCAGCCTGAGCAACAGAGTGAGACCCCAACTCAAAATAAATAAATAAATAAATAAAATAGAAACTAATCATATAATATATCAATAAGAGGAAACCTATTTTTTCCTTTTACAAATGAGGTCACGCCCTGTTTGACATTATTCGCCCTGTTTGATATTATCCAATGACATTTTATTTGTGATTCCTTAACAATTCAGAATTCAAGTTCTTACAGTTTCTTATACTCATTTAAAAGAATCATCTTTGATTATGAGTCCTTAGTATTCCTCCTTCATCAATCTTTTAATATTTTTTACCTTCTCATTGTTAAGAAATAGCTTTGAATTCCTAGCTGGTATTGTTGTATTTTACTCCTTCCTTTAGAAAAAGTGGCAATTTGCAAAGAAGAAACAATTAAGTAAAATAGATTTATACACCAGGTAATTTTTCTCTTTTAAAAAACCACCCAGTTATATTTTTGTGGTAATACTTTAAGTAAAATCTAAATTTCCAGCCTGAAAGAAGTTCTGTCTTCTTCACATGACAACACAAGCTGGACAATCTAGAAATAGCTCCTTAATGCTAAACTTTAAAAAAACAGAATAGAAATTATTTCAATTAATTTCTCATCAGAAGTTCAGTCCTTTAAAAAAGAAAATCCCAGTTACTTTTCCCTTTTTCCTTTCAGAGAACTCTTCAGGATTCCCACAGGAACTCAATCTCTGACATCTAAGCTCTTACCAGAAGAGGGCACTGTGGAATGGTGCTGACCCTCTCTTGTCAGCAATTCCTGGGCCAGTAGCTTGATCTTTGATAGAAATTTTAATTTTGAAAATAGCAATGGAGTAAACTTCATTATCTCCAGTCAGTAGAGACTTTCATTCAGTGGATAATATATGTAATACACCTGGCATTGTGATGTCATATAGCCAGCACGAAATATATGCTTGAAATGAAGACAGAGGGGGGAAAACTCATAAATCGTTTCCTTTCCTGTCTCTCTCTTGGTATCCGTTTTCTAATCCAATATGACATCTCTCCATATTCCAACCAAGGGAGCAAATAGGAACAAGGAGGGAAGATGGCCCTCAGAAAGAAGGAGTTTCTTTTTTCCTCTCTGACAGAAGGAATTTCCATGGCTCTCTCTCTCCCCACCAACAAAACAACAAACTAGAAGATTAACAATAAAATAGGAAGAATAAACAATAAAGCTTGTTAGCCACTAAAATAGGTGCTTCAAATTATAGAATCTACCTTGAATGTTTTAAAAGTATAGTGAATCTTATTTAAATGGAATGATTTATGTTTGGAATAGACCAATGTAGAAGGCCAAATTAAATGACCTCTAAAAAGTTCTGTAATTTCATGATTATATAATGTAAGCATGTTCTCTATACAGATTTTAAAAATCCAATTATAAAGTAAATAATCACTATGTCTAAATAATAGCTTCTAGTAAAACCAAGCATTTAAGCCCATTATTTACAAAATTAAGAAACTCATTATGGATAGATGGATAAATGTTTCAAATATCCTAAAGTCAAAAGTATTTCTAAAGGCTTAGAAAAGAATTAATATTTCATATCAAAAGTTTCAAAAATTGCCATTAGCATTTAGTGATAAAATGTTAACGTAATTAAAGTTTATTCTTAAAAAGAATCAGGATGAGGGCATATGGTACTTATCTGCCTTCCCTGCACACCTCCAAGGAATTTCTATTTTCCCTAGAAATGTGTATTGTGAGAGACAGGGAAGGAAAGAGAGAAAAAAAGAGAAACAGAAAAAGAGTGAGAGAGAGACCAAGACAAGGACAGCGAGGAACAGAGAGACAGAGACAAGAAGAGAGATAGGAAAATGAGAGATGGTGTTACTTACCTCTGTGTCTCTGAACCTATCTTCATAATCCAATCTGTCCTTCTCTACAGCCGTCAGTTTTAACTTCAAGTTGGATATTTCAGCCATCAGATCCAACTTCTGAGTTTCTAAGGATGTCCTACTCAGAAGCTCCTACCAGAATTTAAAAGATACATTCAAAAACTGTTTTATGATGAAAAGTCACATGTGAATTTATCTCATTTATGATTGCAAAGCAGCAGATATCAAGTGAAGGATGCAGTAAAGAATAATTACTAAGTATAGACACTTTGAAAAAAATTGTTTACTTTAGATGCCCTCCTTGGAGCACAAATAAAGACATTCATTTGTTGGGGGAGACATTTATCATATAGATACATGCACACACATAAACCTTACATATTCTTAACTGAGATAACATTGATGATGATATTATGTTTGCTATGTGTCAGGTACTCTTGTGAAATATATTGAGCGTTTCAATCCTCATAACGATTTTATGAAGTAGATACTCTTAATTATTATACTTATTCCAAAGATGAGGAAGCTGAGGAACAGAGAGGTTAAGAACTTGTCAAAAGTTATACAGCAAGGAAATGGCAGAACAGGAATTCAAACCTAAGCAGTTTTGCTCCAATGTGTACTCTATCCACATTTATGAGCATCGTGTGTGTATGAACATTATGAGATTTTTCCCCAATAACAAAGGTCATATATAGCGCTTATCTTATTTCTTAATAAAAAATATCAGCCCCTCACTGAGTTTTAGGAAACCATTGGAAAGCAAAAAAAAGAAAATTAAAATAACCTGCAATTCTATTAATAGTTTATTCCAGATTCTAATGACATAAACACTTAACATTGTGTGTGTGTGTGTGTGTGTGTGTGTGTGTGTGTGTGTGTGTGTGTGTGTGTCTGTCTTGGGACCTTGCTACTCTAGATCTGTGCTTAAGATATGCCTGTCTATGGGAATCACAAAATTTACCATGGTATCATACAACACAGAAATGCAGCAACTCAAATCATTCAGCAGGAAAATCTACCTTGGTGCTGACTGCTGCACATACCTGTTGCAGCATCTCTTCTGTGGCATTCAACTTCTCTCTGTGTTCTTCAAGACAAAACTCCAAGTCGCGAATCTTTTCACCCTGAGCCTCCACCTGGTCTGTTAACACACTTACCTGTATTTAGAGCAAATGAGTTAGAAAAAATCTGGGTCCCAATGCATGCTCTATTTCTTTAAATGGAATAAAAACTGAAATGATCCCACCACTCATATGGTTGCAAAAAAAAAAAAAAACAACAACCCTGAGAATTAACAAGAAGACATCGAACCTTCAAATTCATATTTATATATATATTAGTTGCTGATCTAAGATAGCCTATACAATTTGGAGAAAGTTAGTGTTGATTAAGGATGTGCAATACTGTATAGGTTAAACCATTTCAACCGTTTATGAGAGAGGCCATGCACACAAATTATCTTTTTTTGAGGTGGGGGGAATAGTGTTAGAAGAGAGGAAATAAAGTTAATTTTTGAAGCTGAAATTATTAAGGACTGTTCAAATTTGTTCCTTCAAGAAGAATAAGGAAAAAAACTCAGAAAATTCAAATTCCATGAGATCTTCATAGATTACACTGATCACAGATGTGTCCAAAACCTGTGGGGGACTCAACATACTCAAAGTTCCATGAGGAGCTGTTGAGTTAGTCTTTCAATCTCAGTGCCTATTGAAAATCTCTGAGTTTTTTTAGGTCAGGCGCAATGGCTCATGTCTATAATCCCAACACTTTGGGAGGCTGAGGTGCGAGGACTGCTTGAGCCCAAAAGCTCAAGACCAGCCTGGGTAACATAGCGAGATCTCATCCTTACAAAAAAAAAACCTAGCCAGGCATGGTGGCACGTGACTGTAGTCCCAGCTACTAGGGAGGCTGAGGCGGAAGGATAACCTGAGCCCGGGAGGTCAAGGCTGCAGTGAGCCAGGATCGTGCCACTGCATTCCACCCTGGGCAACAGTGTGACCAGAGTGTGATCTCAATTCAAAAAAAAAGAAAAATCTCTGAGTTTTTCCTCAGTAATCACCAGCCTAGTAAACATACTTCAATTCATTTAGTTCAAAATACAAAAGGAAAAAATGGTTGTCAAGCATTCAAAACATTATGAAGCAGCAAATTCAAATTTAGCCTACAAACAAGACTCCACCCACTGTTATATTTTTTCTGGTCCATGGTATCATGTCAAAAACTGAAAAATTAATTCTATCTATTCAGATTCAGAAATACATACTTACATATATTCAGACTTTTACATATATTCATCTAACTGAATTTTTGGTATATATTAAAATATATTTTAAAAATCAGATCAAGCCAGGCATGGTGGTGTGTGCCTGTAGTCCCAGCTAATTGGGAGGCAGAGGCAGGAAGATTGTTTAAGCCGAGGAGTTTGAGAACAGCCTGGGCAACATAGCAAGACCTGTCTCAAAAAAAAAAAATCAGATCAGATTAGATGAGAGATGACATCAGATTGATGACATTGTGCCTGTATTCAGACTGGCCCTGGAAGAGCTGAGACTGATTAAGAGCAACTCCTTGTAGACTGTGTGTATATACCCTTGTTTCGCCCCAGTCCTCATCACTCCCTACTGTATACAGATGACCTACCACATTTATTTCTATTAGAAGTCTGGTTGCTGTAAGCAATCTGAATTTGCCGTTCCAATTTAAAACACTCTGTAAGTTCATCATGAGGAAAGAGCAACATTTAAACATCGCTTGCCTGAAGTACGAGGGATTCTTTATCATTTTCTAAACGTGCTAGCCTTTCTTGATACATATCTCCGTTCCCAGGTAGGTGTCCATTTGTCTGAAAAAGAAAAAAACATGGGTAGGGCTGATCCTCTTTAAGACTCATGCATTGTGGGTAGACAAAAACCACATGTTTTTAATCCAAGGAGACTGAATTAAATTCAGCACAACTGTCAGTGCCAAATGGAAAAAATGAGAATGCAATTTGATTCATTTACCTCAAACAGGTAAGCCAGGCACGTCAAGCATTTAGGCATGTTTTCACCAAACTAAATCATTTCTTATCCCAAGGAGAAAACAAGGGCCCAAAAGGAACAGTGGTTACTGATATTATTCACTGACAGCATACACACCCCCAGAGCAGGCACAGCTTTGTGAGTGTGTGGTGGGGCACCCCAAGCTTTTTCTCTTCCTCCCAAAAGCTCAACCACTTTATCTGCAATGACCGCCCTTGGTGGTGGTGTCTTAAGTTCACTAACCTCCTGGGAGTTTGCTTGCTGGTATGATGTTACATTCAGTCACTGGCCAGAGTTTATAAATTGTCATGTAACCTCCCCAGCATCTGGCAGTGTTCTGCATATACCGGGGCTCACTCTTTTTTCCATTCCCTTCTGCCTACTTTTTTTTTTTTTTGAGTTGGAGTCTCACTCTGTCGCCCAGACTGGAGTGCAGTGGCCGCTCCCGACCACAGCAGCCTCGACCTGCTGGGCTCCAGCGATCCTTCCGCCTCAGCCTTCCAAGGAGCTGGAACTACAGGTGTGCGCTACCACACCCGGCTAATTTTTGATTTACTGTAGAGATGAGGTCTTGTCAAGGTGCCCAGGCGGGTCTCGAACCCACGGTCTCAGGCAATCCACTCACCTCAGCCTCCCAAAGTGCTGGGATTACAGGCTGAGCCACCGAGCCCGGCTTGCCTACTTTTTAAAAAATATCAGACTTGGGTATATTTACACACAGTATAAATGCCCAAGGAACTATGGATTGGGAAACAATGTAGATTTTTTTTCTCAGTTGTCTTATATGCAAGTCATGAAAGAAACACATGAAAAAGCTCACAAAGAACAGAAAACATAAAAAAAGTCATTATGAAAACTATGGAGTAGGGTATGTGATACCTCTCATTATCTCATTTAAATAGTTCACAACCATAAAATACATCATCTCAATAGAATTCCCGGATTCTTCATTCAAATATAATAGAAAGAAAAACCACTTGAAATCCAAAATGGCTAGATGGGTTCAATTGAAAAGGCAAGTAACACCTTCAGAAAAAAATACAAACTGCACATCTTTCCTTCCTAGGGCACATCTGATGTGACATCTATTATTTTTCTAGAACTAACTGATACTATTGTTTTACTTTTCCAGTGGCTGCAGTTTCCAAAATCAATTCTGGGAATAACAAAAGTCACTTGTTGGGAAGGAAAAGAAAAACAAAACACAACTTTAGTGAAAAAAAAAATTTCAGGATGTTTCTTCTAAAATCTTAAGTGTACTGGATACATTTTCCAACAGGCCACAAAAGAATCAGACGCTAATTTAGTAAGTATCCAATGTGTACTTAGAGTGGATAAAAATGTTTAACATCAGCTGCTTCACCACACACCTGCACAATTGCCACAGCAAAATTCTGTTCATGCTGTTAACCGAAGTGCCCAGAATTAAATTACAAGCATTACGAAGAGTATGATGGAGTGGCCTGGACAACTTTCATCCCTGGGGACTACCACGAAAACGAAATGCACATAACTTCTCAAGGAGGTTTTTTGGAAAACAGCCAGGATGCAAAATGCATGTTCTCAATCTAAGAAAGTGCCAAGACAGGCCCTCACAGCTTTAAATTCCTCATTTGGATTATGAACATGAATAGACATCTGTTTTGAAAATCTCACACAAGCAGTGCTTTAGAAACAGTTACATGGCATTAGGTAGAAAGAAATCAGCTTTCTGTTCAGTGAGCACAAGAAGTAAAACTATCTTTCTTTGATTAAGAGGACATCACAGCAAAATGAGCAGTGTTTCCTCCTAAGCTACTGCATATAATATGGAAACGAGATATTCTGAAACCAGTTTTCCCAAATAAAAACAGATACTGAAAATCAACTCAAAATCGGCAAACCATGTTTCTCATTAAGTATTGTTTTCTTAAAATTATGATTATTTTTTGGGGAGAGTTGAGGTTTCACTGTGTTGTCTAGGCTGGTCTCAACGTCCTGGACTCAAGCAATCCTCTGAGGTCTCCCAAAGTGCTAGGATTACAGGCAGGAGCCACCATGCCTGGTCTTTGTATTGTATTGATATGAACAAGCACTCACAGTTCTCAAGGGTAGTTTAGTATTTTTTGTTAATGTTAAAAGTCACTATAGGAACATAAGCAAAAATTAAGAGCCATTAGTACTATATGCTTGTGTTAACTGACTCAAATAGGTAAAGGTCTATTCTATCCACATGTGTTTGTTTATGATACTGTCAATTTGGTACCTTTGCATTCAGAATGTGGGAGGTGGATTCATTAGGTAAATGCTCATCGCCTCTATTCTTCCTCTCACTCCCATGCTCTACCTACCAGAATACTCATAACCTCCCCATACATAGCATACTGTCTCATACTCTCACAAGGTTAGAGTTGGCCACGTACACATCCCTCTCTTCTAACAGACTGCAATCTTTATGAGATTTGTCTTTGCATCACACATACATGGGTGCTGACTAAATGTTGAATGAAGAAACAATGATAGGCGTTCAATTAACATTGGTTGAATAAAAGATGAATGCATGTTTGATTTTAACCTCTTGACTAGACTTTTATTCATGTTTCCTCCACAATCTGGTTCGCACTCTGTGGCTGACCTCTAGGCCCTTCTCCTCAAGACTGCACACTGTTTTCCCACCATGTTTAGGAGGTGATCTCAGAGCCTTTGCAATGACCCTTACACACTTTCTTCTTCAGTGCACAATATTATACATTGCCTCTTATATCCTTCATTTCTTCTTTCCTGCCAGTCTTGGGAGAAACTAGTCAATTCCTTTCTAAAAGCTCAGCATTCCACCTCTACTTTAGAACCTTGATATTTTGTTTCCCTGGAACACTATAATTATTGCCTCTATTTATCATTCTCAATTCCTTTCTGTTAATGAGCATTCTTCCAACTCCAACATCATCTTCTCCTTTCCAACATCTACCCCAAGGCATTGTGCCCACCACTATACTCACCTCCCCCTCCTCTCTCTCATATATAGATCCATCTTTTATAACCAGTTCCCACTTCCTCCTCCTCTTCCTCCTATCGTGCCAGTCTCTTCTCCTCCTTTACTGGTTTCCCTTCTGTGTTTTGTCTGGGACTTCACAGTTTAGTGTTTTATCGTATATTCTGTCTTAGATAATTGACTTGTAATTTAATGAGTTGGTCATTTATTCTTAATAGTTTCAAGTATAAACTCTTTTTTTTTTTTTTGAGTTGGAGTCTCACTCTGTGGCCAGACTGGAGTGCAGTGGCCACTCCTGGCCACTGCAGCCTCGACCTGCTGGGCTCCAGCGATCCTTCCACCTCAGCCTTCCGAGTAGCCGGAATTACAGGCACGCGCTACCACGCCTGGCTGATTTTTTGATTTATTGTAGAGATGAGGTTTCGCCAAGTTGCCCAGGTGGGTCTCGAAGCCTCAGGCTCAGGCAATTCACTCACCTCGGCTTCCCAAAGCACAGTATTACAGGCCGAGTCACCGAGCCCGGCCAAGTATAAACTCTTATTCTTCCTAAGAGTCTCGAGTATAGACTATGTTGAGTCAACTTGACTTCCAAAGCATAGAAGACCAGCCTAAATTACTTTATGCAAAATAATTTATTTTGCCTTCAAAATAACCCTTGCTACTTGAATTCATGATATAACCCTTTATCGACCACATGCAATCCAGTTAAAAGTTTAAGTCAAAATTGGAACCAACTCAGGGATTTCAACAGTACAGTATCCAACTAACAGTGTATGTGAGGGTCAGGCTGGGATATCCAGCTCAACTGTAAACTTGATACTTTGATTTAATTAAGGAACTTACAGTGTTCACCAAGTTTTCCTGATCTAGCAGGGAGAAAAACATCTAAAAACACTATTCTTCATAGAATTATAGAAACCTAGAGTTAGCCAGGAACCTCATTTAGGAATATGAACTGTCTGAATTCACACAGCAGGTGCTCCACATAATATCAGAGCATTATTAATCTTCCCCTTCACCATCCAAGTGAAATTTCTTTTTATATCAATTTATTTTTTCATATTATAAACACATAATCAAGCATAAAGACGTAATAAATGTTAACACCTTGCTTTTATACTTGTGTTTAAATTTTTTCTACAGAAAATGTCGAATATATGTAAAATTAGAGAAACTAGCATGATGAAGCCCCATGTATTCATGACTCAGTTTCAATAAGTATTAATTCATGGTCGGTAGGTGTCTTTTCCCACTATTTTTACTTACAGCATCATGCTGTGTCTTCCTTTGATTTTCTGGATTCTACTGGCTTGCATTAGTCTACAGTTGTCCTCCCTGGGTCCCCCACTTTCGTTTTGCTTTGTTTTTCTTTCCTGAGCTTTTGTTCTGTCTAAATCAAAAATCAACATACACGCAGTGACTTGCCACAACTATACTTATCTGTTTTATAACACAGAAACTCATTTTGAATGTCATTCAAAATGACTCATTCCTAAACCAGATGGTAAGTGGCTAAATTAAAATGGGGACAAGAAAATCAGTCCCATCTTATAAGGACAATACGTTAAGAAATAGTTGAACTTGTATTATTACATATATACAAATACATACACACTCCGGCCATTCTATTTATTCTTAAAACTAATTTTATAAACTATCACACAGTATCGATTTCTTAATTCCATTTGTAAAAATTCAGTATCAAGAAAGGAAAAGTAAGGTTTAGTACAAAATCTCCTTTAATTAAAAGTTATCTCTAGCTACCAAAAGAAATACTGACTACAAGGGCATTTTATGTCCCCATCAGTATTATGTTCCTGCCACTGCATGCACACATTTCCTGCATGCCTG